ACTAGCCAAATGGAGTGTGGTTTGCCGTCCCAAAGACCAAGGCGAGTTGGGCATTCATGAACTTGAGGTTAAGAATAGGGCCCTCCTTGGAAAATGGTTGTTTAAATTACTAACAGAAGATGGTTTATGGCAAACCTCCTAAGGAGGGAATATGTGGGTTCCAAGGAGGTATCCCAAGTATACTGGAAGCGAGGGGATATACCCACTTTTGGGCGGGCCTAATGGCTACGAAGAAATATTTCTTCTACTATGGATCCTTCTCAATTAAGGACGACTTGAAAATTAGATTTTGGGAGGACAAGTGGCTAGGAGGTGCCACACTCCGGGTACCATATCTGGCTCTATACAACATTGTGCGCCACAAGGGTGATACTATTGCATGGTAATGCAATCATTTCCGCCAAATGTGACGTCCAAAAGAGATTTAATTGGACCCAGGCTCTAATCATGGAACATCCTGCTCCAGAGGTTGTCCACGGTGCAATTGTCACATGGGACTTATGTTTTTCAGATGGAACCTCCATGGGAATGGACAATTCTCAGTGAAGTCAGTGTATAGAGTGTTAATCCAGTCTGATGTGCCAGATGATAATAACAAGAAGATCTAGGAGATGAAGATACCACTTAAAAATAAAATCTTTGCATGGTATCTTCGTCACATAGTCATTATTTGAAGTAATATAAAGCGCCACCTTGGGGGGGATATCGGTCATGGATAGAATTGGATCTTATTCACACAAGTCTTTCATTACATACATGTTTCCAAGAAAGAAATTAGGACAATCAATTAAGCATTGGATGAGTCAAAGGCTTCCTCGAGCATTTCCAGATCAACTAGGACAAGACTCAATAAAGTCACCAATGTTGCTGCTTGCTTGACTTTGCTTTTTTGAATCTACTTCCTTGCTTGTCTCGCCAATGAAGATATTGCATCATATCTACACTGCTAGATAACCAACACTTTGCTTCCCATTTCTTTTGCAATTAGATCGATCTCCCAATGCTGGATTTATTGTTCTATGATAACCAAGTAGAAGCATCAGTTCCACATAGGTAAATTTTTGTAGAAGCATAGGCGCAAGCTTTTCTCAAAAATAGGATTCATGCATCAAAATTCAAAGAAGGTTTGCCTTCACTTCAACCTTAACCATTCACGGAAGATTCATACTATGAATATTCCCCTCCTCATTTGCTGAAAGCACTTCCTATAGCGAACCAGGCAAGGAACATATCGAGTAGGCTAGTACCAATTCCTCCACATCAACAACAAAATAGGCATATGAATCTTAAGTAGGAAATTCCTTCATCTCATCTCAGATGAGGTAGGTAATCTACAATAATTTATTTCCATTTCCAGGGCTCAGAAGTCTGAGCTATTAAGGTGCGGTTGACGGATAAGAGGGAAGAACGCCCAACATAAAGATGCACACTCCTCCATGTAAAATAGAAAGATTCATCTCCACTTTTTTTAGTAGTCGTGACCAACAACCATTTTTTGGATCCCATGCTATAAAATCATCGCCAAGACAATGAGAGGGGCGAATTTTCTGGATCTCACAAATGTACACTAGGAGGAAGAATTGTTGCAGTTTTGTATTATCCCAATTTCCATTGAGTGAAACACATTTGAATCTACACCGTCCTTTGGTTGATATGAGTCCACAAGTAGGATCCCTTACAATCCATCTATCACATCAAACTCTCAAGTTGATCAGTTGGGATGGATTAGACCGAGCTTCGGCGTAGATTCTTGCCAGCTCCTCGAGACGGTGAGGTTAGAGTTCTCATCGTGTGTAAACAACGACGAGATTTAATGTCAGATTCTTTGGATCGATTCAAAGGTTCAACGACGACGACTACTTCTCCATGGCACTAGTCCTTAGAGATACGTGCATGAGTACTTTTTGGATGTTATCGACAAGATCAGGTCAGTTTCGGTATACGAGACGACATCGACACATCGATGACCTGCTCTCGCGCGGCAATGGTGGCCGATTTTGGTGTTTTGACCTTTTTACGAAAGTTTAGATGGGTCTGACCCCATCCTAAAGTATTTCGGGATCTAACCATTTTGCTATCGCCAGGATTGATGGTGGTATGATAGAATAGCCTACCGCCAAGGCCTTGGCGGTAGGGGCGCACGCCCTATCGCAAAAAATTTCTAAGTATAAAATACAGTGTGTGTACTCACCTACCACCGACGCGTTGGCGGTAGGGGTACACAGGCTACCGCCAGCCAGTTTGGCGGTAGGGCAGCACTGCGCTGACGTGGATAAGTTGCCTATCTCCAGGGACCTTGGTAGTAGGCTATTATACCCGACCGTCATCGACTCTAGCGGTAGCAAAAAAGTTAGATCCCGAAATACTTTCGGATAGGGTCAGATCCGGCTAAACTTTAGCAAAAGGGTCAAACCAACAAAATCAGCCGGCAGTGGTTGTTAGATAGTCCAAATTTTGATGTAGTTTCATTTATTTATTTATGTTTGGGATGCTTTATACTTTTGATCAACCTTTATAGTAATAGATTTGATTCATTAAAAAAAGTATTAGGCCAACTCCACCGCGTGACCCCATCCTGTCCACGCGCGTTCGTTTGGAGTAAAATGGACGAATCAAACGGCCCAGCGCGCGGGCGCAAACGGACTTTTGTCCATTTTTTACCCATCCCCGGCCCAAGTTTGCGCCGCTTTTGGGGTGAAACAGACATCACGCGGACGCGCGGGCTGTCTGCGCGTGTCCTTCTCTGGCCTGCCCGTCGGTGACACAGGAGTGCCTTTTTCTATCCGCCCCTCCCTCCCTCCGGCCGCACGCCCTCCATTCTTCTTCACTCTTCCCCACTCTTCCCTCACCGTCGCCGCCGCCGCCGCTACCATTGTAGCTGTGCAACTCGGACGCGCACTCGCCCATCCCCTTCCCCTTGGCGCCCCCGAGCTACCCAACCACGGCCAGCTATTTTGCGTACCCGCCGGTCGGATTTGGGGCGGATCCGGTCGGTCTTAAGCTCGCCCGGCTGTGGGAGGCCGTGCCACGCCATGGACTGGCCGGACACCGGGCCGGAAGGCCATGGCAGGGCCGCAAGGCCACATGCAGGCAGTGGCTCCTCCTCTAGCCGCTCGGATCTACACCGTCGGTGGTCCGCCGACAGATACACGAATGGCGGTCGGTCGGGCTCGGTGCTAGCCCAAAAGCACGTCGGCGCACCGTTGCCGCTCATTAAGTGCGACCACTGCCTAAAGATGGTCATGCGCCGCGTGTCTACAACGCCGGAACATCCCGGATGGGTGTTCATCAAGTGCTTAAACGATGGGGTATGTGTTCTTTTTAGCTTCGGTTTGTGCTCTAGATTTGACTAGTTGTGCTAACTTCAAATTTTGTTGTGTAGAATGGATGCAAGTTTTGGTATTGGGAAGAAGAGTACATCGATATATTGATAGAGCGCAATTTAGTAGATATTCGTGCACTTTTAGCTAGCATAGAGGCTGTAGATGAGACAAATGCACTTGTTGCTAGATTAAAGGCTAGACACGAGACTAGATGCGAGGAAGCAACCTCTACTTCTTTAGACTCAAAGAAGAAAGAAACACGCAAGATGGAGGCGGCTCCTCCGCAGATCAACAATGAATGCATCGAGAAGGCACTAATCCAACTTACAGGAGTAGTTATGGAAGTTAGATATCTTCTAAAATGTATTATTGTGGTTCTTGTTTTTTTTGTCTTTCTTTTCTAGTCAAAATTTGATGATGTATTCCCATGTACCAAGAATGAATGATGAAAAAAAGTTTAAGGACTTGCAAAGAAAAAAGTACGCGGACAAGATGTGGCCGGGATGCGTCCGCATGTTGGGCGCACGGCCACCGCATCTCAGGACACGTCCGGACACGACCTCATTGCTCTACCCAAACGGACAGAATCCGGACAAAACGGACGTCCGTTTGGGGTCGCACGGTGGAGTTGGCCTTACTTTCCGTACTAAAGCAACGATGATCAATACGAATCCGAGGGAGTACTGGTATATTTTTACATTTTAAGAAAGAAACAAGGGATCTTTGCTGTATTAAAAGCTCCGGCCTGCTGACAGCTGTGCTTTCCATTCTGGTTCTAGAGAGGAACGGTGCGCATTCCGCGTGACGGCGACGATTGAAACGACCGCAGCGACGAGCACACGGCACCACAAATTCCTCCTCGTTTCCCAGCTCTTGCTCGCGCTCGGCCGGCCCCACGTCCCCATCGTCCTTCCCTTGGCCGGCCCCCGGTCGTGTCCACCAGAAAAATAAATAAAAAAACCCCTCCCCCGCGGCTCCACCCTCCGCAACCAACCACGCAACGCGACACCTCCCCCGTTCTCTCTTTTACCCCGTGATGAGCGAGCGAGCGAGCGAGCCCACCAGAAGCCACCACCACTCCTACCACGCCCACGCGGTTTCCTTCCCTCCCGCACTCGCCACGGCCCACGGACACGCCACCCCCATCCACCGCCGGCCGGGACCCGGACGCTCCGTGCGCCCACCCGTCATCCACTATTCCCACCAGACGCGACGGGGTAGCTGTCGGCCCGGCCGCTGCTGCTGACCGGGACGGCGACCGGTACTACGCTCTACTACCCTGCACGAAAAGGCCCCGCGCCCCGATTTCTCACCCATTTCCTCTTCCTCCCCTCCCCCCATAAGAAGAAGCTTCCTCGTCGTCTCCCCCTCCCCCTCCTCTTCTCCGTCAACCGAAAAATCCGCCCCATCTTGAGGAGCTGGGTCACTGCTGGGCTAAGCAACACGGCCAACCACAGCGCGAATCCCCCAAAGAAAAAGGCTTCGTTTCATAAACCAAGAGGTTCACTTGTTGGGTTCTCGCTGTCGGAGTTCGGCGGCGGACGGAGACGGAGTCGTAGTCGGAGCGTGAGGTCTAGCTGGTGGCTGCGGAGGCGAGGCCCGGAGGAAGCGGCTGATTGAGTAAGCGCGTCTAGCACAGGAACCAAGAGGAGGAAGGAAGAGGAACCCAATCCAATCATGGACTCGGAGCACTGGATCTCGCGCCTCGCCGCCGCCAAGCGCTTCTACGCCGCGCAGCTCGGCCACATCGACGGTGCGCGCGCCCTTCTCGTCTCGCCTTGCCTCTTCACCCTCCCCCCTTCACTGGATTTACTTAATTGATTTCATGTTGGACTGGATGCAGATATGGCGGGGATGGGGATGGAGGAAGTGGACATGGACATGGAGGACGACGGGGAGATGGACATGGAGATGGAGATGCAGCTGGAGGAGGCAAGATGGCCGGAGGTCGCCTGCCCCTACTGCTACGAGGACTACGACCTCGGCTCCCTCTGCGTCCACCTCGAGGAGGACCACCCCTACGAGCCACACCCCGCGGTCAGTAAATCGCCACCGTGCCCGACCCTCATAGTTTGATGTGCTCTGCAAAACTCGCATCTTGCTCCTTTTCCGATTAGAGCTGTAGAAAATGCTGTGGCCCGAGAGGTTGACCCAGCGGATTAACTCAAAATGTTAGCTCCTACCTATTTTGATTGATCGCAAGCTCCCTATGGTTTTGCCCAAATCTCCTATACTCTACTCTCCTGAATGAGTGCTAGGTGACCCAAGATGTAGGGTCAGGTGTTCATCAGTCGATTGTGCAGGATAGGCTTATGGATTTAGAGCATCTCCAACAGGCGCCCAACGCGGCGCGCGCAAAAAACAGCTGCGCGCGCGCCGCTCCAGCAGTGCACAAAAAATGCAGCGTGCACACAACATTTTTTTAAATTTTCGAACGCATAGATAAAATAAAAACTAGATAGATTGCATAAATAAAAAACGATACAAAGGTATTTTACATCGGTGCAACTAGATAGATAGTTCGAAAGCATAGATAAACTACGGCGCAACTAGATAGAAACTACTCTAAGTCGCTATCATCATCACCATTATCATCCTCGGCGGTGTCGTTCGAGGTGTCTAGCCAGATGTCCAGCCACCGATCATCGTTCGGCGTGAAGAACGACTGCCCACCTGCTGCAACGATGTCGGACTGCGCATTCGCCAACGCCTTCCGCTGACGCCTTTCCAACCGCGTCTCGCGGCGCCTTCGCGTGTCCTCCTCGCGGCGCCTTGCCCAGTAGGCCTGCTCGTAGGCGACGTCCTCCGGGTGGCGCTGGCGCCACTCCGCCATGACCCGCTCGTCCTCCTGGGCGACGAGGAGGCGGCGTTGCCGCTCGGCGTGCTCCGCACGGTCTTCCGCCGTGTTCAGACGAGGCAGAGGGGCGAGGTTGAGCGCTTGCTGGAGCGTGTACACATCTTGAAAGTTCATCTGGCCGCGCGGCCGGCCTAGGCGCCACGCCGCCGCGTCGTACGCGCGGGTGGCCTCGCGCGCCGTCCCGTACTTGCCGAGGCCGAGCCGGAGTTCGCCGGAGCGTATCTCCGCGGTGTAGCAGCCGTTGGGGCGCAGGCGGACGCCGCGGTAGCCGGACGCTCCTCGGCGGCGCGGCGGCATGGCGGCGCGTCGGTGGCGGGGCGCTGGAGTGGCGCGTGGCAGAGAGGGAGAGGAAGAGGGGAAGAGGAAGTGTGGAGAAGCGCGTGGCGAAGCGGCGTGCAGCTTGATAGGCGCGCGCGAAGCGGCGCGCCAAATCTTGCGCGCGCGCAAACGGTTCCGGCGCGCGCTTGTTTCCCGCGTCCGCTGGAGCGCGGCAAACCGCCCCGCGCGTGCTAAAAGCTGGGTTTACCGCGCGCGCGCGTCGCTTGGGGCGTCTGTTGGAGATGCTCTTAGGGCTTGACCACACAAAATGATACTAGAACGAAAGTTTGTATCTTGGCCCAGAAATCAAGAGGTTCACTCATTTGTAGATTTAGCTTGCCTAAGGTTTCGGGTCAATTGCTAACCTATCAAACTTCCATGGTCTGAAATTTCTTGTGTTCCTACTTGAACTTGAAGGTCTACTCTTAGATACAGGGCAGTGTGATAACCTTGGTATTTGCTTGTCATTGTAGTACTTGAGCTATGCTCAGTTGACATAGAAGTATTCCCACATATTGAGTTAAGACACGAGTAGTAATCCACCTACGGCACACCTGGTAGCTACTTGTGCTACGGGAAGAGGAATCTAGAAATTACATGTCTGAAGTCTGAACATTTGAAAGTTCACCACAGCACTTTTTTCCTGTTAGGATGCACAATACAATTTGATTTGTTTGGAGAGATTAAAAATGAGACGATGGATTCAGTTGCTATATTTTGATCCATCGTGTTCAAGTGGGTGCAGTACAGACTGAAGAAGCTACCAAAGCATTGCACATATCACAAGGATACTGTTACCTGAAACTCACGTTCCAGAGATTATCCATTTCCAAATAAATTTTCCAGAGATTAACTGCAAACTTCCTGGCAGTTAAAATACCTACTTATGTTAAATTTAGCATATCATGTTGTTTTTGTCGTAGTCAGATTGTTCAAACATATTGTTTTTTCTTATATCTTCTCCTAATTTATTTTCCATTCTTATTTCAGCCTTGCCCCATCTGCTCTGAAAAGATTACAAGAGATATGCTAAATCATATCACCATGCATCATGGTTACTTGTTCAAGGTTTCTCTCTCCTTCTCTTGTACATGCATATGCTAATTACTCATGGATAACTTGGCTAAAAACAATGTTCCTGTCAAGTCAGTAAGGTTTCTGATGCCCTTTTTATTCTTGGCATCTACAGAATGGCAGCCGGTTGCGCAGATTCGTTATTCCCGAGCGCCGTGCACTTTCTTTACTGAGCCGAGATCTACGTGATGCTCATTTGCAGGCGCTTCTAGGAGGCGGTCATAGTCATAGGTCAAGGAACACCACCACTGCCACTACAAATATCTATGCTGATCCACTGCTTTCATCGTTTGGCCTGGGTTTTGCAACATCAGATGCCGAAGAACCATCGAAATCATCAGTTCCGGTTCTCGATGATACTTCAATTCTTAAGGAGGCGCCTCCTCAACCTTGGGAATCAAGGTATGTATAATTATCCTGGTATCAGGCCAATTGTCCTACCGGTTTTATTCCTGTGAATCATTTTAAATCTATTACCTGCATGCAATTTACACACTCTTTATGACAGAAATAATATAGTTCTCAAAATCAAATCTAGTCCTGTTGTGATCCAAATCCGAATATCCTAGCTATTGATTGAACCGATTCCGCGGCTTTGCATCTCTGGAAATAATTTCTCTCCTGCTATTGGAAAATTTCACTGCATTTGTGAGCAGCAGTTCATTTTGAATTGCTGCTTGTTCTTTTAGTAAGCTATTGCTAGCCGAGTCTAATAGTTTCACATAGCCAAAACTGTTTCTTCAGTAACTATATTCTTTATTCCCCCCAAAAGAAACTATTGGATAACATATAGAGTAGCCGTAATCATGAGAATACACACATCTTATAAGTTTAGCTTTGATGTTTAGAGACAGTGCATTTGGACCATTTGAGGCAAAAGGATTCCTTGTCCTATAACTCTGTAGTTACACTTCAGTCATATATGTGCTCAAGTATTGTGCCCCCAAAGCAGCTTTATAGAATCCCTCAAATATACATACTTTATTCCATTTTTAGCGACTTCTATTTCCCTCATTCGATCTGCAAACTTAAATTGTATTTTTCCATGGCAGCATTGACTCGTCCCTCACAAGCGAGGAAAGGGAAGAAAAGCGGAAACAAGCCACAAGCAGGGCGACCTTTGTGCAAGACCTGGTCCTCTCCACTTTATTTGGAGACGACTGAGTGCTCGAATGGCCCTGCATTTTCCTTGTTAGATGGGTGCTTCCTTCACGCTGATTCGGATAGAACAGCAGCACTCCGCCATGAGTGGTTAGTCTTAACTTGGGCGAAGGCAAGTGCGTCTGGTGCACCCGTAGTCAAGTGCGGATTTTATTTGGACTTGACACATACACCTTAATTTATGGTAGCTGTTCCATATTGCCGTTTTTTCCACCGAATTATCGCCCAGCAGTTCCTTGCCTTGGTTGTAACTTGTTGTGCCATCCTCTTCATTGTCAAGGAACATTGGTCTGTACCAACATCACACAGCTGTTACATACTATAGAATGCAATGCAATGGGAAATTACAGAAGCTCCACCTGTGTGGAAGCAATAAGCAGAATCCAAGTCTTAGTAGCCATCGGGGCACACAAATGCTGTGCTTTGGAACAGGGGTTGTGTGGCGCTGTTGCTCTTTGTGTGAACGGTTACTGCTGTGGGTTTCCACGCTGACTGACTGACATGTGGGAACGGTAACTGGCATGGGAAATCCACGCTGACTGACTTTGTTCCTGTCACTTTTTTTTGAGAGTACGCCAAAGCATAGATGTAGGGTGCAATGTCTTTAACCGCGAAGCCATGGATCCATCAATCTCTCCAGAAAAACTTTATTGCCCACCCCAACCGCAATATGCACCATACTGTCAAAAGACCGCACGAGCCTCCTTGTCCACAACCATGGGTAGCCCTTGCCACGGCCTCTGGGGATCCGTCCGCCTCAACCACTCCCACCTCACTCTCAAAGCCAAGCCTTGCAGCTGAAGGTTGCGCCCGCCCAAACCTCCAAGCCAAGTAGGTTTACAAACTGAATTCCAAGCCACCAAGCACTGACCCCCATTCACTTTCTCTTTGTCGGGCCCAAAAGAAAGAGCGCATCCATTGATCTAACTCTTCGAACACCCATGATGGGGCCTCCGTGACCATGAAGTGATGGATGGGGTTGGCTGCGATCACAGACTTGACCTGCACGAGACGTCCAGGGCGGTGCAACAACCCCCTTTGACAGGCCGGGGCAAACTTTTTGGCTTGATCGATCATGGGCTGCCACTCCGCCCTCGAGAGCTGTCTAATAGCCAATTGAAGGCCAAGACACTTGCATGGAAAACTGCCCAACCGGCATTGCAAAAGAGAGTCGACCTGGTCCCGATCGGTGTTGCTTCCGTGAATCATGATCGCTAGTGACTTCTGATAGTTGACCCGTAAGCCAGAGGCGGCACCGAATGCGTGTAGCATGGATCTGACGAACGTGAGGTCCAGCACCCGGGGCTTAACGAACAATGCCACGTCATTTGTGTAGATCGACACTAATTGGTGAGCAGCGATGCCAGTGAAGCTACTAAAGACTCCAAAGCTCTCGGCCTTGATCATAATTCTCGACAGCACGTCCATGGCGATCACGAAGAGCAAAGGCGAGACCGGGTCCCCCTGCCTAAGACCCTTAGCATGAGTGAAACTTCTTCCGGGAACCCCATTGACAATCACCCTGGTACTAGCCGTCCTAAGCAGAATCGAGATCCATGTACACCACTTATGGCCAAAGCCTTTGCTCCTCATCACCTAGAACAAGAACGACCAGTTTAGCGAGTCGAAAGCCCTTGAAATATCGAGCTTTAGGAACACACTAGCCTCCTTACGAACGTGGATCTTTCTGGCCACTTGCCTAACCAGAAGAAAGTTATCGTGCAAGTGTCTACCGCATATGAAGGCGACTGATTCGCCGTGACTATCTCTTTCATTCTTCTCCGGGCTCTATTCGCAAGCAACTTAGCAAAAATCTTGTCCACACTAAGAGGGAGGCCGATGGGGCGGTAGTCGCCCACTTCCTCGGCGTCCGGCTTCTTCGGAATCAACACAATATGAGCGCGGTTAAACTTACCAAAGTCTCGCCCGTCTCCCACGTAAAGCTTTAGGAGTACCGCCATCACTTTGTTCTTGATCGTGGGCCAAGCTTTTTGATAGAAAGCAGAGCTAAACCCATTCGGCCCTGGCGCCCGTTCCGGATGCAGCTCCATGATAGTTTTCCACACCTCTTCCTCCGTGAAGATCGCATCAAGATCCGAGAGATCATGCACAGCCATGTCAAGGAAATCCATGTCCACGTCTGCTTCCCGAGCAACGACGTGACCCAACAACTGCTCATATGCTTCGGTGAAGATCTCCTCCTTGCTTTCTGCGTTCCTGTCATGTATTTTTCACTTTGAACTTTGAATTCCACGCTGGCTGAACATGTATTTTTTTCTGCGTCGACTAGAAATGGGTCGCCCTCTTTCCAGGTTAACATTGTGACAGTGCCACTACCCTGGGCGATACGAGCACCATGGGAGTCAAGTACATGAGCAGCCACCGAATTGCAAACACGATTACAGAAAATAAACTTGGAAATCAGAGAAACCAGTGATAAGCTGCTGCTTTCCTTCCTTGAAAATCACAGTGGCATAGCCAAATCATGGTCCGTCGTGCTTGCTTCAGATTTGAGTCCTTTTGGCTAAAATTCCTCCATTTTCACACTACTGTCGAGCATGCTTGGAATAGGCCGGTTCAACAGCGCTACGCTTTTGCACGTTTGCAAATCAAGCTCAGCAGGGTGGTGCACGACCTAAAGATATGGAGCAGATCATTGTTCAGTGACGCGAAGTCACAATTCCACATTGCCAGCGAGGTAATTCTTCGTCTAGATGTGGTGCAGGAGACAAGAACCCTTTCGGAAGCAGAGTTCAAGTTGCGAAAGTTGCTCAAGATACGCCTGGTGGGGCTTGCGTCCATTGAAAGGGCCCGAAGGAGGCAAGCTTCCAGGGTCCTCTGGCTGCGGGCAGGCGACGCCAGCACAAAGTTCTTCCATGCAAAATGTTGCTCCAGAAGACACAAGAACTTCATCCATACCATTCAGAGTGATGATCAGTGTGCCATGGCTCATGGGGATAAGGCACAGATCATTTACGATCACTTCAGCAAGGTGATGACAGCGGACACCGGTCGACGTGTGACCCTCAACTGGAGCGAGCTGCAGTTACCAAGGATCCAATCAGCTGGCTTGGAGAATCCATTCACGGAGGGTGAGGTCTGGGCAGCAATCATGCAATCGCCAACGGAGAAGGCGCCGGGCCCCGATGGTTTCAGTGGTACCTTTTTCAGAGCTTGTTGGTCGACCATTAGCAACGACATCATGGCGGCTTTTCACCAGTTCTATCACCTAGCCGGCGGTAATTTGGCTGCTCTGAACACTGCCTTCGTAGCGCTGCTGCCGAAGAAGGATGGGGCCATGCGGATGACAGACTTTCGCCCAATTAGTCTGATCCACTCGTTTGCTAAGCTGGTCAGTAAGGTGTTGTCAATTCGACTGTCCAAAGTAATTCACACGATCGTCTCCCCTGCACAGTCAGCTTTCCTGAAGACGAGGTGTATACAAGTCAGCTTCCTTTATGTTCAGAATGGAGTTCATGTGCTGCACCGCTCCAAAACCCCAGCTCTACTTTTGAAATTGGACATCTCCAAAGCGTTTGATAGTGTGTCATGGGACTACTTATTGGAGCTACTGTAGGAACTGGGGTTCAGCTCTAGATGGAGGGATTGGATCGCCTGGTTGTTGGCATCATCACGCTCTGAATTCCTTCTTAATGGAGTGCCAGGAAGGAAAATCCAGCACCGCAAGGGCCTTTGCCAGGGTGACCCAATCTCACCGCTGCTGTTTATTCTGGCCATTGACCCACTGCAACGCCTGATCGATGCAGCGGTCCAGCAGCAGATGATGCAACCATTGCCAAGAAGGGAGATGAAGCTAAGGGTCAAACTTTACGCTGATGATGCGGTCGTCTTCATGAACCCAGACCAAGAGGAGATGGAGGTGCTCATCACCATCCTAAACATGTTTGGCGAGGCCACGGGTCTGAAGATCAACAGACAAAAATCAACAGCAACACCAATACGATGCGATAATATTGACATCCAGCAACTTCTGTAGAGTTTTGGAGGCATCATCACCTCCTTCCCGCTGAAATATTTGGGCCTCCCGCTCACTCTGACAAGAACAAGGCTCGTGCATCTTCAGTTCGTCTTGGATCGGATCAGAGCAAGGTTGGCAGGCTGGAAGGGCAGACTAATGACCATTGTTGGACGACGGGTACTTGTCAGAGCCGTGCTAACTGCAATCCCAACTTTTGCTATGACCGTACTCCGTATGCCAAATAATTTTTTCAAGGAAATCGACAAAGTGAGACGCCGTTTTCAGTGGGCACAAGAGGAAGAGCTATCTGGAGGCAAATGCAAGGTGAATTAGAACAAGGTGTGCTCCCCGTTGGAGAAGGAAGGGCTGGGCATCCTCAATCTTGAGCGCTTCGGCTAGGCCCTGCGGTAATGATGGTTTTGGCTAGCCTGTAAACACCTGGACAGGCCATGGGTGGGCATGGAGGTACCGTGCTCCAACTCCGATCGACTGTTCTTCAGCGCGGCCACCTCGGTCATGGTGGGCGACTGCCAGACGGTTAGGTTCTGGACTTGCTCCTGGCATCAGGCAGGCACGCTACGATTGTTTTTTCTGGCGCTCTATAAGCATTCAAGGAGGAAGAACAGAACGGTCGCCAATGCCCTTAGTAATGATCGCTGGATCCTTGACTTGATGCACGGGCAGACAGACCAGATCGTTTGTGACTGCGTGGCCTTGGCGAGACTCCTGCGCTTGGTGCCAGTCAACCTCTCTACAGATGTGGGCGACGAGATAAGGTGGAATCTGGAAGCCAGCGGCTGCTACACCGCTTCATGAGCCTATCGGGCACAATTCCAGGCGAACCACACCTCCACATTCCCACAGATCATCTGGAAGACTTGGGCGCCAGGGGAACTGAAGATCTTCTTCTGGTTAATGCTGCTAAACAGGCCCTGGTGCAATGACTGGCTTCAGCGATGTGGGTGGCCCAATTCATATTTCTGTCAATTCTGCTTCAGAAACCTCGAGACGGTTGACCACATAT